ACTGGGCACACTGACGGACTGTGGCCAATTTAAATCAAATGGCTTAAAAGGCACTGACCCATAATGCCTGCATACCTGGGATTTCATCCTGGCCTACATACTCTGAGACATCATAGTGTATGAATCATTCCAAAACTGCTCCAACCTTCAACTCATCACCGAAACCAAAACGAAGCCAATCTTGCTCTGTAAAGGACATTGTAACTAGCATACAGAAGTGTCCCTGTCTCAGCTGTAAGCAGCAGCTGCATGGTACTTAGCTGCTGGCTGGGGTTAAACCGTGACCAGAAGCTGACTCCTTAAGTGGTCAGGTGCTCCTGCTTCAGGGGTATTAGTATCCATCACAGATGAGCAGGCAGGCTGGAGAAGGTAAAAGCTTTGATGTTCCAATGTTAAATCAACATAAATCTCTCTAAATGCTACATATCCGAGCACTGGTAGGGTAGAACAGGCTCCACTTAGCAGCTCCCTAAGCAGCCCAGAACCAAAACAGAGTGGAAAAACACCATACATCCTGCACTAAACTAAGGGCTTTCTCCCCAGAACCTGCTCAATATTGTATTTCTCCAAGGCAGACACATGATGTTAAGCAAGCTGATTTTCAAGTTCTCACAGACATTATTCTCTTAACAAAAAAATGTACCTACACTGCATAAACGAAGGTGTGTACTTGGAAAGAGAATTAAACAAGAGGTTTATTCTTTGCAATCCTCTCTTTTTTGTCAAAAGTAACACTTCAACCACTTTAAAATGCCTGTTAACTGTCTTCCACCTTGCCAAGGCCACAGTAAATTGACAATTAATCATCTGTTAATTATCTGAAAGTCTATAATCTTTAACAGCCATACTTTTGTCTTAAGCAACTAACAGGCCTTGCTACACTAGTCTGAAGTGGCAAAACCACACCACCACCATCCAACATGTCTGCCTTTTACTGCACTCCCTTTCATATGTTTTTATCCAGATTCACAATGCACACAAGCCTCTCTTTGTTAAAAGGCCCTTCTGTGTACAAAGAAAATTATGCCTTAGGCAACTACAAGCCACAGAGTTAGATAGCTTTCTCTATAGAAAACTTTTCTGAATCCCAACATTGGGGCATGTAATAGCTCTCAGCTGTATTATATAGCATTTCCTTGTTTCTATTTGATATAGAAGAGATGCAAGTTAATACAGATTACACTAAACCTTATATATCCGAACTTGAACTTAGGCTCCTTTCTAACCTTTGTTTAGATTTTGATCAGTGTAACAGGGTTTGGGTTATTGCAAACACTAAGACAAGAAAAAACTAAACAGAGGTTAAATGAATTTTGAGATCATTGAGACGGAACAACTAATTTTACTTAAAATTAACTGTTTTTCTGAACTAAAAACCTTGGGGATATTCTAAAGTTAATTCACAACACAACTTTGAGAATGCTCTCTGTATTACTACACAGCTGTTTATCAGAGCATACAGAAACTTTCATACCAACACTTATCCTTAAGCCATGATAAAATGCACAAAGCCAAAAGTGTGCATTAGTAAGATTGCTAAAGTAGAAAATATGTGGTTGTCTATTTATGCTGACAGATAGAAAAAAATAAACACATGTAACATCTAGAAACAGGGCAAAAGAAGAATGCAATGAAATTCAGCTTGCATTTATTTTTGTAAGCTTTGCAGCATTTTTACATTTCAACAACTGCTGGTGTGTGAAGACACAGAGACCACTGAAAGGCCTTCACATAAATATTACAATGGAACAGGCTGACTCATGCAAGCTGCAACAGCAACTACTGGAGAGTATTTATCAATCCACAAAATCCATACTTTGCAAAGTCTGTATGCTGTTAGGTAGTTTTAGGATACATTTAAATCTATCCAAGGAGGAATACAGCTCAAAGCACGAACAACTCCAAAATACAATATAACTTAAGAAATCTGCCAAGGGGAAGAGTGTGATAAAATCTGTTGAAACAGATTTTTTTTTAAATTCTGGTAGCCAGCACCTGTTTTGTTTGAAGCCACAAAATGGAAAAACAGCACAATAAATTCTGTTATTACTAACACACAAATATATCAGAAATGTAGCAAGTTCTCCAAAATCAAAGTAAGAATGTCTAAGTGACAAACACAAGCTTTATGGAAGATGCAATGCTCGGGTTTTTTTCACAGAAACTAAGCTCATAATTCTTACTAAGCAGTTATTTCATGCATCATGCATCACAATTAAAAGCACCACACCGCACACTCACGAAGAAAATGTAACATTTAGCCCAGGTTTCAAAACTAGGCAGTTCAAGAACACATTTACTACCTCCACTTGAAAAGGATGTTTGTGTTTAACTCAGAAAGATACAGTTCTCAATTACAGACACAGGTTTGATCCTTGCTGTCAATGACCCACTCCAGAAGTGCCACTACATTACAGGCTTTCAAGGGCAAGGATGCTATAAACACATAACATGAAAAAAATTAACAGGGTAATTTTCTCACCTCCAATCGTACTTTCTTGAAATTCATGAAACTGTCCTTTTACAAAACGAAGCACCAAACTTGATTTGCCAACTGCAGACTCTCCTAAAAGTACTAGTTTAAATTGGCAAATTTTATTTCCAGCATTTGGCCCGTTGGGCCTTGTTGCTCCTCGATTAGCCATGTCCAAATTAGAAAGCAGTCCTTTGTTTCAACAGCTTTTGAAAGCAAGTTCCACTGAGATCTGAATCCTGGTTCTTCTGCCAGTAATAACCTATTTTGTGAAAAGACAGTGGGTGCATTAGATTTACAAACCAAATAAGACAAGTCTCATTCACTAATGCAATATATTATATACAACTTCACCTAGTATTTACCAAAGTCAACAGTCCAGACTACAGGTACCATCATTTCTAAGTTGTCAACTATAGCCAGAATTTATGATACATGAACCAGTTATCTTCTTCAACACCTAGTCTTCCCATCAAAGCTTCAAATTAGCACATTAAAATCCAATTATGCTGCTTCTTGCAAGACCTCAGTATCCTGTTATTTCTTAACAAATCAATACTGATGTATAACACAACAGATTCAGACTTTCAAATTGTCAGTAAAATAACAAATGACAAGCAGGAATAACTTTTCAAAATTATGCTATTGCTAACCAATATTCCAAAGTCAGCACTGATCAAGGATGCTAAAAAACTAAGCAATTTGGGAAAACTCAAACACCACAGTAGCTTCTTCACAAGTGCAGTTCATCAATTCTCTTCTGTCCCACCTATCAAACACAATTTCCTTACATAAAAGTACAGATCTTCACATACAAATCATTAATATCCTCTCTAATTAACAACTGTATTGAGAAGCAAAAGTGAAGCCTTCCATATGAAGACCAATTGACCAGTAAGAATTCCAGGCCACTCTATACAAACTACCAGAGAACTACCATACAATGATAAATTTCTATTTCCAATACTTACACGTGTCCTAGATCAATAGTAACAACAGAGATTTTGGTAGGCACAAGTATGAACAGAGTATTGCTTAGTCTGCTTACTCTTCTTTCCAGCTGCTGAAAATAACCCCACCCACAGTACTTATTGATATAGAAAGGGAAGCCTTTAGACTCTGCTGGTACCACTTCTGACCCTAATACTTATGCTTTTACACATGCAACAGTAGATACAAAACAAAAGACCTCCCAAAATTAGCTCATAATTTTGTCCTACTCCAGCTGATCATTTATTTGAATTAAGCACACTTTGCAGGGATACAGCTTTTCCAACATACAGGATGCCAGTTAGGTTAGAGTATACGCTCCTACAGCAAAAAATGGCTTTAATTCATATGTTGCAAAAAAGTAAGCAAACATAATGGTTTCAAATGACTTCCTGTTCTTTATTCCTTGTGATAAAGCAACTACATTTTAAACCAAGCAGTAGTCTTTAACCATCTTCCTATTTCAAACACAGATCAGGCACTTGAGCATTCCAGTTTGCTACAGGCCTAGCTCAGATGCTAAGCCTTCCTTCTCCTTCCTAACTCCCTTTCCCTCAACCCAAGTCCTGAAGAACATTCTTTCCTGGAAAGTGCTTCAGCAGTCTAGCAGGACCCTACCCTTCAGTAAGATACTCCCTTACCAACTAATATTCATGAATAAACGAGAACAAAAATCTTAGCATTATTTACAGAATAACATAACAGCTGAAAAACAGATACTTCATTTCTCATTGTAAACAGAATACAGGCCATGAAAAGTATTTTCAGCATCTTAGAGACACTTTTATTTGCTCATGTTCCTCCTTTTCTTGTATCTCTCAAAATAATTTACCTTCTTTGAGGTGGGATGTAACAATTTCGCATTCTGTCCTGAGTTTGTTTTCCATTTGACTATTACATCACACTTAAAAATAAATATTTTTAAAATTGCCATTGTACAACATGATCTATCAACCTTTTAGCTATATATTCTTAGAAACATGTGAAAGTATTCCACAGTAAAAGAATGAAGCAAAAAAGCCCCTGCAAATCCTACCGTCGTTCTTATTAACTACCAATTAATTCTATACTACAAATCTTATTCATTAAACTAATTTAGGTGAAGTATTTCAGAACACAGGAATGCATCCAGTTATTTTCAAAATCCAAGCCTTTCATCCTTACACCATAAAACAATGATTTTGCAATACTAGTGTTTTGGTTCTCAGGCAAGACTCTTCCCCCTCCATGCTGTGGAAACATGCTTCAGAAGTTGTGGAGTGATTTGGATAAAAATGGATCAGTGACAACAGTTAATCTCTCCATAATTGTAATACAATAGAGAATGCAGCAAAGCATAACCAAAATATAGGTGGTTCAGAATACTGTCAGCCATTTGTTTATATTTTCCTTTGGAAAAGTAATGAAGACAATTAAGTAATTTTTGTTTTAAAATGAAAAAAAAAATCCATCTGTTTGCTGTAGCATTCCAGTGTGTTTGGACAACCATGAAATAATTAAAAACCCTTTAATCTTAATATGTCCCATGTTTTTCCAGACTCTGCAGCATTCATAAAAACATAAGGACAACATCCAATGACTGTGTGACTTAGTACTCCTGGGAGCAAGTGACTTCTAGATGATACACAGCGAAGAAATCACTGCACAGATTACTCCCTATGACTGCTTTTTTGCTTGCTGTTTCCCATACTGAGAGCAAAAGGAGGTATGAGAAAAAAACATTTAACTTGCATAATATTTATCAATTTCACCTGAGCATTTATGGCTGGTAGTTATTTCAGATTTTTATCACTCACAAAACAGTAATTACTACCCTTGGCAAAACTACTTCAGAACACAAAGCTGACACAAGATGTCAAGGAAAATATCTAGTTTGATTTTTATAGATGCCCAAGCTACAGAAGCTGTAGTTAGAGAACTTCCAAGTTTACATTCTTACAGCATCCCTCCCCTGAAATCATTCTAGACAGTCAGATACCATGTACAAAAATAACCAGCTCTCAAGCTGATAGCAGACCACAGGACCTGACAGGAAGGCCATCTAAGAAACATACTGCAAACCTCATTCATGCAACAGTTACATCAATACATCTAATAAATTAATAATGAAACCTACTAGTCATACCACCCACTTTTCAACAGCTCAGGATAAAAGAACATGCAAGACTGAAAACCTGATAGAGCACATCCAGATGATTGTGACATATTAAAACAAGTCACTAACACCTTCTATCAGTGTACAGGGAAATCATCATCTTTTGATGCTTCAGATGATGCCAAAACTCTGTAGTTGAAGTCCACAACATGGCAGCATACTTACAAAAAAAACCAAGAGAAGTACCTGCTTAATCTGAAGAGAAGCAGTACTGCAGTTTGACACAGCCACTGCAGAATGGTTTTGGCCTGGTCTTTTCACATTGTGAGCTGAGCACACAGTGCCTCACAAAGATTCAGAAGTAGATTTCCATGCTACAGTCCTCCATGCACACTCCAAGGCTCTGGTCACATTCGTTCTACTATTTCTTAATTCATCAGTAAAATACAAACCTGGAGAACCCAGGAGGAATAGTATACTCAGTACTCTACACATACACTGCAAACTCAGCTCTGGTGAAAATTTCCTTGGAAAAAATCCACTGATATGGCTCCCCTTCTCCTCTCCTTCTAATTTTGTATGCAATGTAATCAATATCTTTGGAATATGTAAAGAAAGAAAACCTGGGTAAGACATTTTCATTCACCTACACAAAGGCAAGTACACAACTGCTTGACTTGAAACAAGCTCTTAAACTGATACATATGGGAATTATGGAAGTGACTACAAATATAGAAATCTGCTAAAGGAAATACAATAAATTTTTTTGAGACGGATGGCTTCGCATTAATGGAAATGAGGGAGATTTTCTTACTTTTATAGAGTTTAACATAAAAACTCCATTTTGCCATCTTGGGCAGCATAAATACATAGGTCACTCTGCTAAGTAGGAACTTTCACTTTTCTTCTGAATATCCCCCCCATGACAGAGCAGGTCCATGCTGAAATGCCAGAACACAAAGCCTGGAGTATATTATCAGCCAAGTACTCCTGGCAATCCCACCAACTAATTTACTGGATGCTGGGTATTCTCCTCACTCCAGAAGAGAAATTTGCTGTTGGACAGTCTTCAGTTTTATTTATGAAAGAGTCCTGAGTATTTTAACAGATCAAACACAGATCTTATTATGCTTGAGTCTGTGTACAAAATACCAATAGCCCCAGCCAATACCTACAAACCCTCAACTTAATGGCATAATTCAGTCATGTAAGCACAAGCACTGGACTATTTTCAACTACAAGACATCTAATACAGAAGTATCAAAGTAACACTGGTGACAAAAGCCAGCCTACTGAAGAGATTAAGACAGTGAGCACTGTTCCTACAATTAATGTGATTAAGCGTATTATCAAATACAAAGGCCACATGAAAAAATTCACGATAAATTTAAAACTGGAACATTCCACCACTTTTATATCTCATAGCAAACAACACTGTTTCTTACTAATAAACTTTTGTACGCTGCATTAACGGACACAAGCACACAATGCTGAGGCTGCAACTATTACCTACTTTAAATTTCTTCATACTGGACTTTCTTGAATGTTTTAAAAGGCACTAACTAGAAAGGCTAATATATTAGCCACTCCTGCTAACTGAATTTTCCTTCCAGGTTCAGCAGAATTAGTGTGACACCTTACTGCAGTGTTCAAGACAGTGACAGAGTCAACCAGCAAAATGATTGTCATATGTAAGCCATATTGAGACATAATGAGACTGTAAGTTAAACAAGTGAATCAACACAGTTGCTGCGAAAAAAATCATAGCCCTACAATTAAAGGTAATAGCCATCTCATAAGCTCATCCAAGCGATGAATGGTACCAATTGCTTTCAGATAAACTGGTTTATCATACAGGAAATGTAAGCGATGACTACAATACTATTGTCTTTAGCCACCTCACTTCAGCCAACATCTAGCTTTTCCTGACACTTCTCATTATGGAAGAACAATACCTACATGCAATCTGTAGGTAAGCATGACTGTAACTCTGAAGAGACACTATAAAACTAGAAAAAATAAAAAATACCACGATTTTTACTTTGCCTGAACGTTACATGAAAGAAACTGATTAATTTCAGTTGCTTAATTAGCTGTTTAGCCTCTCATTGCCACCCCCAAGCTCTGAAAGAAGTATAAGGTAGGAAAAAAAATCATTAAAAATGCCGAGAGAACAGCCTTTCACGGCCCTGTTTGAAACATTTTGATAGTTCTTATGCAATTCAGCTCTCCTCTAAAACATAAAAAGCTTAGGTTTGTTCCTCTACCCTACCCCAGCTTTGTGTCTAGTTCCAATTCCGTGCGATGCAGAAGATATCCAGCATGCTAGGCCTGTCGCGATCCCCCCGATGGCGACGCATTGTCGGAAGCATTTTACTTCCCACCTAGTTCACCGTCCTTCTTCCAGACGCAAGCGAAAGGGAAAGCGAGGGACCCATCACCCAACCTCCCCTTCCATATCTCTCACAAGCAACTCGAGGGGCACAGCCCTCACGGCCGGCCCCAGACTGCGATACCTCTCTGCAGGAGCGCCCGCACGCAGGGGAGGATCCCCGCTCTCCCGGGCCCAGCCCCTCCAACCCCCGCCGCCACCTCCCCTCCCCCGCGGCTCCCTTCCAGGCACAGGAATAAGGGGAAGTGGGAAAACCGGGGGCGCCATTTTGAGCCGGGAAGGGAGAGAGCAGCGTCCCCTCCCCGTACGACGGGCTGCCCACCTCGGCCACCCGTACCGCGGCACGACGCTCCCGCAGCGCCGGGGGAGCGGCCGCCGCCAGGAGCGCGGACAAGGCGCGTCTCGCCGCCGCCGGGACCCCCCCGCGCCGCCACCGCCTCCTCACCTGGCCGGGGTGGGGGAGCCGGGGCGGCGGCGCAGCGCTGTCCGTCCGTCGGTCGGGGCTGGCGGGCGCGCCGGGGCAGGGTGGGCGGAGGAGGGGAGAGAGGGGAGGCGGCTCCTCGGTGGGGGCGAGGGGCGGGGGCGCAGCCGTGCCTCACCCAGCCCCGCCGCCGACTTCCGCCGCCGCCTCTGCCCCGACCAAAACACACTCACACACACAAAACACGCACTTCCGCCGCCGCCACGTCACGCCCGCTCGCGCCGTGCCCTTCCGGTTCGCCCGCGCCAGTCGTCACGTGGCTCCCTTTCTTTCCCACCGTTTCCCCTCCTCCTTTTGTTCCCACTCCCTCCCTCCCGCCCGGCCGGCCGCTCCCACGGCGGCCGAGCCACACTCGGCTGTAGGGTGTTCCCTATCTCCCGCTTCCCCCCAGCGTCCGGGGGCAGAGTCCCTGCGTGCGACCCCTGCATCTTCCATCTTCCATTTACGGTGGGGGTGGCACAGGAATGGGTTGCTCAGAGAAGTTCAGGATGCCCCATCCCTGGCAGTGTTCAAGGCCAGGCTGGGTGGGGCTCTGAGCAACCTGCTGTAGTAGGGGGTGTCCCTGCTCAAGGCAGGGGAATTGGGACTGGATGATCTTTAAGGTCCCTCCCACCCCAGACTATTTCGTGATTCTCTGCCAATCCTCTAGGGACTGCATTGCAGCCTGAGGAGGCCACCGAGGAGCCAGGGATGGGAGCTGAGTATTGCACACGCAGACAAGTCCTGGCTTAATCCTTTAAAAGAACCAGTTTCCAAAGCTATTAGTCAAATGAGTTGAAAGGACGAACTACATAGGGAAACCTGAATTGCCATCGGGAATTTGCCTTTTTTGAACAGATAAAGCCCAGAACAAGTCTTGATTGCATCATAGCACAAAGCATGACCTTGTGAGAGAGCAGGATAAAGGCCAGTTGGCCACAGGCTGTGAGTGGGTTGTAGCAGAAACAGAACAATCATGATAAGTGTTTCTTCAGTGTAGCAGCTTTAACAAGGTCTAGGAGTTGGCATTTTAAAGAAACAAAAAAACAAACTGGTAAGACATTTAGTAACTGTATCAATACATTTAATAAGTGTATCAAATTGTACCAATTATTTAGTAATTGATACTATTTAATGAAGATTTTTTATATATACTCTATCACAGGAAATAATCAAGTTGATGTTGTTGCATTCTCAAAATATAATTTTATTTCAACCACATATATTTAAATGAAGCAAAAATCAAGTTATGTAAAGCCTGTGGTCAGTGTTATGCTACTTTCCCCTTAGTATGACATATCAATACTTGAATATACTGAAGTGAATGAAGTGAAAACAGATTTTTTTTTTTAATCTTCATCAGTTCTTCTTTGTCATATACTTTTCCATTGGTACCAGTTTGGTCTCAGAGTAACAATTTCCCCTTTCTGCTTTATTAAGTTGAAGTTAATCACTTATATAAGTGCTTTGTGAAAGCCCAATATGTTACTTCGAAAAAAGTAAAATAGTCTTTGCATTCACCAGTGATGTGGAATGCCAGACTAGCTCCAGAGAAACATGTTTGTTTAAGTAAAGTATGCAAACTTTTTTGAGCTGTGAGTTTGCTAAATATTTGTAAGAGTTGTCCTTTACACTGCCCTAATACACTGCTTATTTGCCATAACCCTGACTGGTCTCAATATGTTCAACTGGATTGCAGGATTTGCTGAGCAAACAGCAGATTCCTGATAATGAAATGTCTTTTACTACACACCTGACAGGCATGCATTGGAGAACCAGAGAGCATCCAGTCAACCTGGCAGCTGCTCACTCACTCACTCACTCACTCACCTCCTTGCAGGAAGACAGAGAACATAACAGGAAGAACAGGAGAACTTGTGGGTTAAGATAAAGACAGTGTAATAGATGAAGGAAAGTGGAAGTGAAAAGGAAAGGAAATCGCTGGCTACCTCCCATAAACAGGCCAGTGTCAGCCAGTCTCCGAGCAGCAGCTGACTTGGAAGACATCTCCTTTATCTACCTCCATTTTCTATGGATGAGTGTAAAGCTGTGTGAGATGGAATACCCCTTTGATCAGTTTGGGTCGGCTGTCCTGGCTGTAATTCCACTCCCATGTTTCTGGACCATCAGCAGCATTTCTCCCTAGGTGGGGCTGATTGCAAAGTGGGGATAAAGTTCTCGCCCTGTGCAAGCACTGTTCAGCAGTAGCTGAAGTACTGCTGTGTTATCAACAGTAGTTTAATCACAAATCCACAACACAGCACCATTCAGGCTGCTATGAAGAAAATTAACTCCACCTCAGGAAGACACAGTACACACATGAACAGTTTTTGTGGAAAAATATTACACCGAATCTTTAGAATTTACGCACTTAGAATTACTTGAACTAAATTCAATTTAGAGATTAAACATATCATACATGACATTTTGTGTTTCACTTAATCTTATCAAATAAAGGACCATACTATTCCATATGTAAGGATCATTATCTATGCTTCTAATATAAATAAATAATAAAATTGAAATAATGTTTCAAATTATTAAATGTATCTGAAGTTCAAGGCTAAATGGAATTTTCGATGCAGGAATTCTATTCACAGGATATTGTTGCTGTTAGGAAGCCTGTTTTACATGCAGGAGGTTCCTGCTGGCTAAGTTAACTCTCTGACTGCAAAGCAGAGCTGTAGCACATCTCTCTTGCTCTGTGGAATGCCCAAGTTGTTCACAGCTGGTTGACAATGACAGAGTGGGACAGCAAACACCAAAGGTTCCCTGTGAATGTGTGAAATAGAGGCATGAGAGAATGTGGCAGTAATCAAATGACCGAGTTCCTGTATTTAGTGTATTTCTGTATTTCAGGCTTGACACATCTCTGTGAGTTCTAGTGGTGAAGACAAGTTTCTTCTGTTGTAGTCTGCACAAAACAATGTTGAAGGAAGGCTCTGAAATCACACAGATAGCCCCTACCAGTGGTCATGTTTTCAGATTTTATTTAATCGTGGTTCATAGATAATATGTCAAAAGTGAAACTGCTGGGTGATATTAACAAATTTATGTTAGTGGGTCATGGTTTCACCAGGTGGTGAAACTATTCCATCTATTTTATCATTTCTCTGCGAGTTTTAATATTATGTTCTACTCAGCCTTTTTGTGTTTAAATTTAAGTGAAAGTTGACTTTAGAGCATGTGCAGAATCTCTTTATTGTGTCTGAACGTCCCTTTTTTTTTTTTTTTTTTTTTTTTTTTTTAATATTAATTTTTTTTTTTTTTGCTATAACATCCTTTTTTTCTGTCTCCTATCTCTACTTGTGTACATTTTCTCTGTACCTACATTGGCTTGGCCATATCACAACATACAGAAAGTGTGCAGCACATACAAAACAGTAATTTCCTATCCATAAATGAATTGAATAAAAAAATATGAAAGCAACCAGGCAGTAACAGCAAAGTGCATCAGCATGGCTGACATCATTCAGACGTTTCATAACATTCTGAGTGTTTCACACGGAGTTCTCTGGCCTTCACAGACCTTCAGGAATACAGAAACTTAGTGCTTTGACTCCAGTCTGTGCCAGCACCATAGTCAGAGTGAGAGCTGTGTTGCAGAACATGGGGTGCTTGTGCTTCATAAAGAAAGTAAAATGCAGGGTTTTGGACAGTTTCCATTCCTCTGTTTTAGCCTAAACAAGACAGAAAAAGGCATTAGGCTGTGGGAATTGAATGTCAGAGACTAGTGAAATGGCAAGTACTGTTGAGGAAAAAAAGTGCTGCTGTGGAATGGAAAATTTTCAACTTTTTCCAAACAGCTTTCTCTAGAGATCCTACTTTTGACATGGGGGATTGACAAATTAATGCTTAAGTAAAGAAAGTTTTAATATTTTTCCCTAAAATTGAATTCAATTAGTTTTTGTTAATTCATCATCTTATCTTTAAAATTACAGGTCCTTCCCACTCCCCAAATATTCTTTCTGTGGCCAAAATAACTTTCAGTATAAGAAAGAATGGATATGACACTGGTTCCAGAATGAGAGGAATTATAGGAAAGAATGTATATTGTCAGTAGATTTCAAATTGATTTATAGGGACCCACATTTCTGCAGAAAATGAAAGAAGCACAGAGAGGCAAAAAAAAAAAAAAAAAAAGAAGGCTGTGGACTTCTGCTCTACTGTTTGTGCAATAGGCACTCTTTTACATGTCCAAGTCCTATTTTTATGCCTTTGACACAACCCACTCCATCAGGGTTGAGTGGATGGTTTCAATTAGCAAGTGTGGCCACCTACTGGGGAAAAACCAAGGTAAAAGTAAATCAGCAATGCACAGAATGTATAAAAATGATACCACCTTGAGTACAGGTAGAGAGCCATCTAGAAATACAACAAACACAAGGACAAAAATCCCATTTCCTGAA